GAAATCAGCTATTAACATTATTAAGAATATGAATTCAACCCTTAAACGTCAATGGAAAACACAATTGAGGACATCATAGGAATAAGCATACCTTTGTGTTTGATTCTTCTTGAGTCTCCCTCAACTAGTTTGCCTATTGAACCTAGACCATGGGATCTCCAATGTTGCTAGGTTAGGTTTTCGCAAAGTATCGACTCATTGTATTGGCTTTAAGCCCATTCCCCTCGATGTAAAGATAACTAGCTCTCTATTTAGGCCTTTTATCAAAGGATCTGCTATATTTTCCTTCGACTTTATGTAATCAATGGAAATTATTCCATTTTTCTGCAAGTCTTTTATTGTACTGTGACATCACCTTATATGCCTTGATTTACCATTATAGATATGATTCTTTGCTCTAGTCAGAGCAGCCATACTATCACAGTGTATACCAATGGTTGTCATAGGCTTAGGCCATAACGGAATACCTTCTAGAAAGCTTTTGAGCCATTCTGCTTCTTCAGCCGCTTTGTCTAACGCGACAAACTTAGCTTCCATCGTGGAACGTGTATTCACCATTTGTTTAGATGATTTCCAATATATTGAAGCACCACCAAGGGTAAACACGTAGCCACTTGTGGATTTACCATCCGAGTGATTGGAAATCCAATTGGCATCATAGTATCCTTCTAGCACGGGGGGATACTTAGTGTAATGCAAACCATAATATATCGTATGTTTAAGATATCAGAGCACTCGAACTAGTGCATACCAATGATCTTTACTAGGATTGTGGGAGTAACGACTCAATCTACTCACAGTATATGCTAAATTCGGTCATGTACAATTCATGATATACATTAGGCTCCCAAGAGCTTGAGTGTACTCTAATTGTGAAATACTATCTCCTTGATTCTTCTTAAGTTGACTTGAAGGATCATAGGGAGTAACGACTGGTTTATCATCAAAGTGTCCAAACTTATTTAGGATTGTCTCTATATAATGAGATTGGGTAAGGATGTATCCTTCCGAAGTTCTTTGAACTTTGATACCAAGAATAACATCAACTTGTCCTAAATCCTTCATGTCAAATGAAGAATGAAGCATTTTCTTGGTTTGATTAATTACATCCATATGTCCCCATTATTAGCATATCATCCACATATAGACATATTATGACATAAGCATTCTTAAATTGTTTAACATATATACATTTATCACATTCATTGATATAGAAACCTTGTGATAAGAGTGTATTATCAAACTTCTCATGCCATTGCTTTGGAGCTTGTTTAAGTCCGTATAGGGACTTAATCAATTTACAGACTTTATGTTCTTGACCTTTAACAACAAACCTTTCGGGTTGTTGCATGTAGATTTCTTCATCTAATTCGCCATTCAGGAAAACAGTTTTCACATCCATTTGGTGAATTTCCAAATTATGAATCGCTGCTATTGCAATCAAAGTTCTAATTGAAGTGATTCTAGTCACCGGCGAATAGGTGTCAAAGAAATCTTGACCTTCTCTTTGACAATACCCTTTGGCTACTAAACGAGGCTTGTACTTTTCTATAGTTCCGTCAGGTCTAAGCTTTCTCTTAAAAATCCATTTATGGCCAATTGGTTTATGTCCCGTCTTTGGTATTTATCAAATAAATATAACAAAACTTACTGCAATCATCAATAAATGAGATATAGTAGTTCTTTCCCCCCTCGAGTTGGAGTTGACTTAAAATCACACAAATCGGTATGTATTAGACCAAGTACTTGGTTAGATTTTTCGACTGATTTGTGGGGATGACATGTTTGATTCTACACAAGTCTCACATTTAGTTATTTTGTTCATTGAACACTTAGGTAACATGCCAAGATTCGTCATCCTTTGTAAGGACGGAAATTGACATGATCTAACCGAGTATGCCACAAATTTGACGAGTCAACCATATAAGTAGAAGCAGTGCTAGAGCTTGCGGTTTTATTCATATATACATCATAGTTTGTGATATTTACAATGGACAACTTAAAGAGCCCCTCAGACAAGTAGCCCTTACCCACATACACCCCACCCTTAGTGACTAGAAATTTATCCGACTCGAATACAATTTTAAATCCTTTGTTGCTCAACATAGGACTCGAGATCAGGTTCTTGCTCATATCCGACACATGTAGCACATTGGTGAGTTCAAGCTCTTTCCCTTTAAAATCTATAAAGCCGAAGTTGAAAACCAACTTGAAAAAAGAATCAAAATTCTAAGGTCTGACCGAGGAGGAGAGTATGAATCTCATGAATTTGCTGAATTTTGTTCCTTACATGGTATTGTACATCAAACGATGACTCCTTATACCCCTCAACAAAATGGGGTAGCCGAGCGGAAAAACAGAACTTTGAAGAATATGATCAACTCAATGTTGATCACTTCTGGGGCTCCTCATAATATATGGGTGAAACCTGTTTGACTGCAAACATGATCTTAAATAAGATTTCGCATAAGAAAATTAGTCAATCTCCCTACAAACTATGGAAAGGCAAATTGCCTTCCAACAAAAGGATGAAAGTGTGGGGTTGGTTAGCCAAAGTACAAATACCTCTACCTAAAAGGACCAAAGACTGTGGATTGCATCTATCTTGGCCTCTCCAAGAACAGTGCAACTTACAGATTCTTGGTATATAGGTCCCAAGTAGAGGATATTCACACAAATACCATAATTGAATCTACGGAAGCATAATTCTTTGAAGACATATTCCCATATAAGGATAAGGAAAAGAGAATCTCTAATCGAAGGAAAAGAGGGAATGAAGACGGTGAACCTCACAATGAGTTAGACCAAAGTACTATTCAAGGAGATGAAGGTACCTCTCAAGTTCAACATGATGTAGAACCTCGGAGAAGTAAACGTGGAAAAGTGGCTAAAGACTTTCGACCAGACTATGTGACCTTTAATATAGAAGGAGAACCTCTAACTTATAAGGCATATATGGATTCTTCTGAAGCTCCTTATTGGAAAGAGGCAATCCAAAGCGAAATAGAATCCATTTTACAAAATAACACTTGGAAATTGTTATGACTAATCGACAACAAATCACAAAATAACAAAAATAACAACAAAAGCAATGACCAAAATACTTGAAGTTTATAAATCGTGTACCTTATCCGATGCTGAACGTAGAATTGAACAAGAATAAAAGGATAGAGGCCTGCGAATTGCAGTGTCCTAAGACGAAATTTCGTCCCCAATCGTGCTCGGTACGGACGTCGTCTAGAGGATACAACTACCCAGTTGATTTGATGCACGTCAAGTCAACCCCATCGAATCGATGAATGTTCTTGAGGGGGAAGATGGAATCGAAAAGGGAAATCGTACAGGAAAATGAAAGTTGTAGTCGAATGAAGAGATATAGCACACACACACACACACACACACACACACATATATATATAGTCTCGGTAGTTATCTGGCGGTTAAAAAACCACCGCACGCGAACAGACACGACTATTCAGAAACAGTGCGTCGTTTGGTCTGGTTCGGCCATAGCCGTGACGGTCACGAGAGCTCAAGAGCCCCAAAGCCCAAGGACCTATCTTTGACCATCAATATATATGCCAAACTAAAGCCCAATCCAAAGGCTTTAGTTGATTTTGATAAGGCTTATGATCTTAGCCTTATAAACTATGCTTTTCTCATTTATTTCCTATGTGGGATCAATTCCTATAGGAGAAATCCAACAACATCTTAAGTGATTCATCAACTCTTAGGGGACGTTTGGTTTGTAGAATAATTTATGAAGGAATGGAATCTGTCAAAAGAATTTGAATCTGGAAGGAACTGAAATGGATTGTTATCAGGTTTGACCAAGTGTTTGTTTGGTAGGAATGAAATGTAATATGTTTAATTGAATTGGAATCTGCCTGTTTGGTTTGCAACAGAATTAGAATGAAATGATGAAAAATGACAAAAAATACCATTTCTTTGATAAAAAAAATTTTAAATTTAATTTTTTTAATTACGAATAGCAATAAAATTAACATTTAATGAGGAAAAAAATGTTTACCATTTATGAAATCATATATAGACATAAACGTGTAAATATCGATATTTTCAATAGATTTTGTATTCAATTTTTGTTGCATCAATTTTTTTATTACAAAACTATTTAATATATATATATATATATATATATATATATATATATAAATGAAGATGCAGTCTTGTTTTTAGGGTTTCTTCTTCTATTTTTTTATTTCTGACAAAACGATAGGCTTCTCTCGAATCAGTAATCGATTTGGTAAAACGACAATAATCAGAAATCGATTTGGAAAAGAAATGTCTTCTTCTCTGGATAAATCGTTAAGCAGAAATCGATTTGGTAAATGACATGTGTCGGAGAAATCGTTAAGTAGAAATCGATGTGGTAAACGATAGGCAATGGAGAAATCGTTATGAATCAAATAAGTAGAAATTGTTAAGCATGAACTGGAAACAACAACAATAATCGATAAGCAGAAATGGAAAGCAAACAAAAATCGTTAAGCATAAATTGGAAGCAACAGATAAGCAAAAATCGTTAAGTAGAAACTGGAAGCAACAATAGTAATCGATAAGCAGAAACGGGAAGCAAACAAAAATCATTAAGCAGAAACTGGAAGCAACAACAATAATCGATAAGATGAAACGGGAAGCAAGCATAAATCGTTAAGCAGATGATGAAACTGGAAGAGGGTATTTTTGTCTTTTACACCATTTTGGATGAAATGGATTTCAATTCCATCAATTTTACGAAGGAATGGTGAAATCCTTAAACGAGGAATGGTTGGAATTCAATTCCATTACATAGGTAACCAAACATTGAAATGGAATTTGGTCAACAAAATTAACTATTCTAATTTCACAAGATTCCGACGGATTTCGACGAACCAAACTTCCACTTATACGTTTGGTTATTACAAGATTTTATAGCCCAATCTTGAAGGCCCAAATCTTTCCCGCATTTAAATACCACATTCTGTTTGCTCTTCACCCTTATCCGTCTCGGTTTCATTTGGTCACACCTCCAATGGCTACTCTCAATTTCTCCCTCCTCTCTAAAACCCTAACCCCTACCTCAAAACCCTCTTCAATCGTCACTTCTAACCTACCTTTTATCCATTCTCAATCCCTAAAACCCATTTTCACCCGAACCATTCCGAACTCAATCCGGCTTCGGACCCACCGAACAAAGGCGGCAGTGGATGGGGATTACTCGTCGAGGAGGAGCAGTAGTAGTGAACCCAGGGAGACGATAATGTTGCCTGGATGTGATTACAATCATTGGTTGATTGTGATGGAGTTTCCCAAAGATCCTGCTCCGACGAGGGAGCAGATGATTGAGACTTACCTTAATACGCTTGCCACTGTTCTTGGCAGGTGCGGGGTTTTACTTAAATTTCAATAATCTAGCATTTTATAAGAGCATTAACACCTGGTGTGGGTTGGCATTTATATTTTAGTTGGTTGAATTTTTGTGTTCTGTTTGAATTATGTGCTTCTAACGATGTTGTATCACATTCGATCTTGCACAGGAGGTGGTTGTAGTTATGTCTAACTGGAATATGGGAATACTAGTGTTTGTTAAAGTATTGTTTAATTTAGATGCTATAACCTTGAAAATGATCGAATCACTGGTGAATTGTTAGAATGAATCCTGACAAATTAAGGACCTTAAAACCATTTATGTACATATTTGGGCTTAATCTTTCTGTGAATCACAGCTATTATTTCATGCCGGTTTTGAATTGCTTTGTTCTTTTTGGTGAAAGAGGATGTATCTATTGAGCACTCTTTGACAAGGTTAAAGATTGTAGATGATACAATTGTGAATGATACATTGACATTTGATTGAAAATCATGAGCTACCCAGAACAGTCCACCCCAAAAATCCATAAAACTGATAAAAACCCTTGCTTGACCGTGATTGAGATCCACAACCAATTTAGAGATAAACAATTAGAGTCATCAACTGATACCAGTGAGTGGTAAATAACCTAGTCAAATGAGACCGAGCCCTCGGGACTGTAGGAACCACCATGCAATTTAAACACATTCACCGGAGAGATGTTGGAGGGGAGAAAACAAAGTGAACCGAAAACACCTAGTTTGAACCTCAATCTAGTACAGATGGTAGAGAAGCCAAATTGAACCACGATAAACAAACGAAGCTTTGAGCCTGCTCTGCCAATCATTTTAGCCACTAATACTTAAGGCTTGTTTGTTAGTAGCTTACTGAGCTTAATCGGACTCACAACTTATTCAGTCAGCTGTAAATGACTGTTTGATAGTGGCTTAATGATATAGAAAGCGGCTTATTCGGTAAGCTTCTAGGGGGAGCTTTATGCAGAAAGTCAAGTTTTTTCAGAACCTGCCCCTCCCAATTAAAAAAACAGGCTCCTTCCATCTATGAAAAATCCTCACAATCCATATAGATAGATTGATCCACACAATCAGCTTTATCCATACAGGACTTAATGGAAAACCAACCAAACATCCCCTTAGATTGGGCCTGTACTTGTGAAACCCCAAGCACTTGGGTATTAGGCAACTCAATGCACCCATCCATCCTCTTGATTTCAATTGTACTATACTACTGTGAAAGCCACAATGAACCTACATTGCACCTGATCTAAGCACCAATTGGAACCCCCTAATGAGCCAACCTATGCACCGATTGGAGATTGAGACCTAGTGGTATTTATTGCTTTTTCACTCTTCTCGCAGCTGGGAAAAGGCATGTTTTTGGTAGAGTTGTTTTCTTGTCCGCTGTCAGGTTGGGCAGTAAGGGTCGGAGCCTATAGAAAAGTAAATATGGTCTAGCTAGTTCTCACTTCTCCCCCTATAGTTATAGCAGTACTTGTATTAGTAGAACCCCTGGGATACGACGCCCTCGACAAGGAACAGTTTTATGATATACGTGCAAGAATGATTGTGTCCAAGTAGAATGAAGCCTTGCTTGTTGATTTGCTTAAAGCTGGTATTATTTTCTCTGCTGGTTTCTGTAAAATAGGTAAGAACCTCCAAATGTTAGTCATCTGTATGTTTGGGAAGTTTGTCCTGAGAAGAAAATTTAAATTCAAATATAGCAATAGCTATGGTATGCTTGTCATGTACGGCATGCTTGTGTAGTAATGAAATGATTCATCTGACTCTATTTTCAATTATTCATCATCTATATAGATGTTAGACAGATACTTGAATTTCTTTCGTATGTTTTTCTCTTCATTTGCATCATGAGTATATGATCATTTTGACTATAATTTCTCTTTCTGTCTATAATTTAAATAACTTCCTTTGCTGGCTATCATATTATAATCTCTATAATTTGAAAGAACATATATGTTATCTAGGCTAACTGCTCGTAAGGAAACCATCTCATGAATCCATGCTGGTCAGTGGTTGTATTGTCAAACTGACAACTTTTGTTGCTCTTCATTGAACCTCTTTCCATATTGTAAAAGACCTTGTGGGCATTTAAATCTGGCTGGTTTAATTTCTAAAAGTAAACGGATATTAACTTGTTTGCGATGATGAAATTATTAGAGCTTTCATAATTCTACTAAAATTGTGAATGTCAGCATGGAAGAAGCAAAGAAGAACATGTATGCTTTTAGCACTACCACATACACGGGATTCCAGTGCACTGTATCTGAAGAAACATCTGAAAAATTCAAGGGTAAGTGAATACCAATCAGCTATCAATTTCAACGATTTTGATGGAAAAACTGGGTACCAAATTGCCTACTTGCTTCTTATATATGTAGGACTACCTGGAGTACTTTGGGTTTTGCCTGATTCATACATAGATGTGAAGAATAAGGACTATGGAGGTGATTCATTTAATTTCCCTTTTTTTTATATACAAGTTTTTATTTATATGAGCAATGAAAGGAAAACCTTGGCGAAAAAGTTAATGAACATGGTCTTTTAGAATTTATTATGGGCCCACAAAGTTGGGAAAAAAGACGTAATTGTCTATTGATATATTGATGCTTTTGTTTGTAATTCTTAGGTGACAAGTATGTGAACGGAGAAATAATTCCTTGCCAATATCCTACTTATCAGCCGAAGCCACGCAAACAATCGAAATATGAGAGTAAAAGGTATGTAAGACAGAGGGATGGACCTCCTCCTGAGCAGAGAAGAGCAAAGCAAGAGGCTGCTTCTTCAGAATCACCCTCCACATGAAACCATGGTAATTCTTGCCCTCTTTTTCTACTTGTTCATAGGAACCCATATACTTAAGTAAATCAAACCAAAAGAACCCAATATATCCCACCTAGAGGTGGTAAGATTTGATTTACGCAGATCGACTGTTTTTTGTGAAGACCCGACTTGTGATCACATATACTTGAGTGTTCAGAAGAAATATTTCACTATTTGTTCTATTTCAAAGTAATTATTATTATTATTATTATTAAAACTATTTTTATTCAATTATGTGGCTTATTTTTGTGCTTTCTATATCTTATGCTAAATCTTTTTTACAAGTTGGGGGTCTTCGTGGAAACAATCCCTCTCTCTCTCTCTCTCTCTCGGGATAGAGGTCAGGTTTGCTTACATCTTACGCCCCAGAACTTATCTCCGGGTGGCTACACTTGGGTTGGTTTGGTTTTTCAATTCCATTTCAGGAAGTTGCTTGCAAATGCATCACCAAAAGGTCTAGGTCTTGAAACCGAAAATATTTTACAACAACTTTGACGATGTTGAGAAAAATGGTCTCTTGGTGCTAAAAAGTGAAGTGTTCTTTTGTGTTACTACTGGATTAAATGGGAAACTTATTAGAGTGTTTTAACCACATTTTAAAGGCACAATTGGTGATCTTAGCTCCTATAAACTATAATGCTTGTTCTGCAGGCTGGTAGTCCTTATTTTGAGAAAGAAGAGACTTGGTGGCAAATCTGTTTAGCCATGTCAATTCAGTCAAGAGGTTAGATTTTGTAAAATTCTCATCTGGATGAATATATACATGTGAGAACTGTATTCAGACTCCTGGTTGAAAATTTATTGTTAGTTGAATACTACTACTAGCTACAACCATTTTATTCATTATGCTAGAATAATATGACAGATTTATTTTCTTGAAATTAGCCCTGTATGAGAATTTTAGAAGATACTCTTTTCAACAGGAATTTTTAAGGCAATTTTGGTTCTGATTAATCTATTTTTCGCTATGAATATAAATTAGGGGGTGGGTCCAATTATGATTTGACCCGATTCTAACATGAAAAGGGGTGTATATAGTATTACCCATAAATTACGTTCCCCAAATTCCATGTCCCATCAATCATTATCTTTTTTAATATACATTTATCTTTATTCATGATGATGTGTCAGACGTTGATTGGTAGACAGGAAGGGATATGATGTTTTGGGGCATGTGATTTGTATTCATTATGCTACTTACGACTCTTGATCTGATTTGGAGTTCTATCATATTGACTTCATTCGAATCGTTGTTTATTGATTACACTTGTGGTTGATCCTATAATTCTACCTAACACAAAATTAATCATTCAATTATGATATTCATCATGCCCAATTTCATTAGTTATTGATCGACAAAGTATATGACATCCTAGTTATTTCAATTCGTTTTGATCATTAACAAGCTTTAATGATCAATTTATCCTTAATTTCTCGATAATCAAAAGTGCAAAACAACATTTAAATCGATTCTTTCCCTATTTAGTAAGCAATTAGCTCAATAACAACGTAATAATGAGATAAACTACCTATTCTAGCCAGTGAACGAATAAACTTCAGTCGATTTTAACCGGATCACGCAATTTCATACCATAAACCAAAAATTGATTCATGATCAACGTTGTTAAGTTGCTATAAAATCGAAATGCCTAAACGATTTTGTATCTAGGCTTCCAAATAGCTAATTGCTTATCTTCACGAATTAACAAATTGCTACTCATTATCATAATTGACCATAATAATGATATCATACTTAAATAGAAAATAAATCAGAAGGAAAATTAAAAACCCATCTCACCGTCGATTCATGTAAAATGGGTTCATTTTGTTATCTAGATAAGCCATCGTCGATGCATTTTTCACCAATTAGTTTAGTCTGTCAAACAAAGCACGACATGTATTTGTCATCATATGGTTAGTGGTGCTCGTGGTAGCGGTGATGGGTGGTGGTGAATGTGAAACCAAATATCATATTAGAGTTAATATGAAATGAGAATAAAATGGTAATTTTTTAGTTTTGTTCCGTCCTTGTCGCATCTTATTCTGTCTGTTTTGGTAGGACAAAAAAGAACTTTTTATTGTCACATCAAATTCCCGTCCCATGTCGTGCCAAACGTGGAATATTGAGTTTTCATCTCGTCTAATATTACGTCAAACATGAAACAACAAAATTTTATCTTGTCGTATATTATGTCAAACATGAAACATTAAGTTTTATCTAGTCTAGTCTAGTAACATGTACCAAATACAGGCTTTAAAACGTTAAAATATAGTAAAATATCGTAACTAAATACATCGACTATGCCGCTAATCCTTAGAAATATGAGGGTCTATTGGTGAACTTAATCATAATAAAGGGGCTTAATTTGAAATTACATAAACTGGAGGCAGAAAAGTAAAATTGCTTAACCCTCCGTATAAACCCTTCCTATGTCACTAGAAACCTCTTTCACAAAAAAATGTCTTCCGCCGCTTACAACCGTCTTCACGGCCTCTTCAAGAACAGCACCGCCACCGCAACCGCCACGGGCACCGCTACTGGCACTGCTGTATCCACCACCAAGAAAATAATAAAAGAGAAAACAAAAAGGCCGAAAAAATCCCCCGCCAGCTCCACATCGACTACAGCCGCCGCTGGCGGCACCGTCGTTTCGCGATCCAAGACAGAAAATTTGTCTTTTGAGCCCTTACCCATGTCACAGTTAACAACTTCATTAGCAAACCTCAAAATGTTCATTGATACATTTAAGAGAACCTCGAACACGGGACCTTTCCGTTACAGTTATAAGTACTATGACGACGCCGTCTCCCACCTTGCACGCGCCAAACAACATGCCTACATTGAAGAAATACTTGAACACCAAAAGAGATACAAAACGGATATGACCAAGGAAGCATTCGTTGTTCGACTGATCTCTCTATATGGGAAATCAAGAATGTTTGATCACGCACGCAAGTTGTTCGACGAAATGCCTGAACTAAATTGTCCACGCACTGTTTTGTCTGCCAACGTCTCACAGCTTGTGTCAATTCGAAAAGATTGGATAAGATGTCTGAATTGTTCCATGAGCTACGTGAGGAGTTATCCATTGAGCTGGACGATGTTTCTTACAACGTTGTAGTTAAAGCTTTCTGTGAGATAGATGCCATTGATTCAGCTTTACAAATGGCGGATGAGATGGAGAAAAACGGATTTGAATGTAATGTATATACATACAATACCATTCTGGATGCATTATACGGAAAGGGTAACATATTGGATGCTGATAAAATATGGGATGTGATGAAAAGCAAGAATCTTGATCCTGATGTGAGAACATATAATGCAAAGTTGCGAGGATTGATTGTTGCTAATCGAATTACATAAGCTATTGGATTGCTGGATGAGATGAAGACCAAAGGGGTGAACCCGGATGTGTATACTTATAACGGTCTGATCCATGGATTTGTTAAGGAGGATGATTTGGTTGCAGTCAAACGTTGGTACACTGAAATGGTAGCAAATGAGATTGTTCCTGATTCGGTAACATTTAGGATAATCATCCCATTTGCATCTAAAAAGGGCGATCACCGATTTGGATTTGAGTTGAGCAAAGCGGGTTTGCTTCCGGAGATGAATGTTGGTAGACTAAATTTGCAGGGAGTTGTGGATGGATTAGTCAAGGAGGCAGCCATTGATGAAGCAAAGGAGCTTGTGGAACTTGTAAAGGCAAGTAATTTCATATACTATAAACTTAAGTTGTCTGTTAACTCATAGTTTGGAGCTTGAAAAGATTTGCATGTTTCAAACTTGTTTTCATCTTCATCCTAATCTCATAGCATTTTATCTATCTATTTGCATTGTGATTCTGAAATGGTTCTTTCGGTGTCATTGTTGGATGGCCATGGCTTTTGACCATTTCAATGGAATTCGCTATATTTTAATGTATAACATTGAGAGTGTTGATTTTGTCGCATCCGGTTCAAATGGGAGTTGGAAGTTTTAGTGTGCACCTCGACTAATCCTATGATTCCGGGAGACGACATTCGTGAAAGTCATCGGAGGATACGCTAGATGACAACATATGGGGAGAAGGTATAACGCCTAGTCTGTATTTGTCGGTTGAATTGAGGTCAAAGTTTTGGATGTCTATTTTGTTTTGAAGTTAAATGAATTTGTGTTTATAAATATGTCAAAGAGATCCAAGTTGAGAATTTTTTGTCTTTTAAGTTTTAACATGATTTTGATAGGAAGGCAAGTTACCTTGCAAGATCGAAATACAATATAATGCAATTACAACGGATATCAAGTTGATTGAATCAGAGCATCTCTAACAGATTATTTAAAATAGAGAAAATGGGGTTATTATTCTCAATGGTACTCCAAAGAATTTTCTATATTGTTGTTTAAAATAAAGAAAACCAGAGAAAATTCCAAATTTAGAAAATTCCATTAATAGTGCTTATTGCAAATAAAATATCATACCAAATAATCATACCAACTAAAAACTCAAAATTTCAATATCAGTTGCCAAACTTTCGGCCTCACTTTCCCACACCCACTTGCCATAATCACATGATAATTCAAGTAAAAACCGATCTTATTTGAGGAGTTTGAAATCTAATTGCCTTAACACTCTTTACTCGCAACATGTGTTGCATAAAGATGTTACAACTATCTTTGAAAAATTATAAAGTAACACCTTCTATCTTTTTTGTAAAACTAGAAAATAATGTGTACATGTGTTGCACAAGTGTAAAAGATTATACAACTTAACACAAGAATGAGCCATATCACCAATACCAAGATTTATGACAAACACATGACATATATATTGCTTTTGGATTATTTTCAAGAAATCAATTTTATATCCCTTGTTGTTTTCCCTTCATGTTAGAACCATTGACATAGTGTTGTGCCTTCACATCATCAACACTAAGGTCAAGAGATTTAAATACGTACAATAATCTATTGAACAATCTTAAACAAGACGTATAACATCTAAAGTTCTATAAAATACTCTTCTATTTTTATTTTATTACTAGACATATTTATAATCGTATTATTAAACTCATTTGCTCTTCATGACTCACATCCGATACATAGTCAAGAATTACAGAAAATTTTTAGCCTCAATAATTTTTATGACATAACTTTTAACATTATGAGGTAAAAGAGAAACTAACTCATTTTGAATATTGTGACCAAGATAATGAGGCAATTTTCTTACTTTGAACACATGATCTTGAATTATCAAATTAGATTCTCCAAATATTTCAACTAATCCCAAAATATTACCATTTTTCATTACATCCTCTATGTAAGGAATATTTACCAAGCTATTTCACAACCATAATTATCCTAAGGAAAAGTTGTCTCTAACGTTCTTTCTTTTTTAAAACTTCTGATGTTGTTGGAACAAAAATGTTGTATTCAAGTCCCGGTGTTAAAATATTTTATATGCTTTAATAATTAGGTGTTGTTTCTTTTTATAGAAGTTGATTGTCTTTCAATTTTTAGGGGCTGCTATAAATAGCAGTTTGGTAGTTTGTTGTTAGTTAGTGATTGACAGATTTAGATTCATTCATAGCATCAAAGCAGTTTGTATCAAGAACAAGTGTACTCAACAATTTGTGAATAAAATGCTTGCCGACATATTGAAATCATCTTTATGTTCTTAATCTTGTTATGAATTGATTGGATTAGACTTGAATCTGGGATCACAATTGGTATCAGAGCTACATCATATTGACTGGATTAGATTTGATCAATTATGTGCTTGAATTCTTAATTTTTGGTTTGAACATATTGATTTCTGTTCTCGGTCATTTTTGATCAAATTGAACCTATTTGATTCATTTTTGTTGCATTTGGTATTGTAATTCTGTTTTTGCACTAATTGCGAACTAATATGTGTTGCTTAATTGCATCATATTGCAATTTTTGGATCATTTCGAGTGATTTTTGAATTCTAGAGTTAACTGGTATACTATCCAGACGTTGAACATTCATCGTCCGATAAGGCTTAACTCACCGGACATTGAATTTGTATGTAAAAGTGTCCTTTTCATCGGTCATTTCTTGAGACTTAGATATTTTTTGATTTGATCATTGTTTGATCTTTGACCGGATTAGTTTTGTCTGATATCGTTGTATTGATTGCTCATCGGATAAGCTTTTCTTGGTTGTTTGTTCTTATTGATTATATTGTGTCCGGATACCTTGACTTCATTGATTCAATTTGGTCCAAGTATTCTCATTGGATACATCCTAGTCTGGATAGCTCATCTCATCGGACACCTCTTTGTCCGATGAAGTGAGATTGTTTGTTGTCCGGTGAAGTACTTCTTTGTTGACCGGAGAAGTACCTTTGTTGTCCGATAACAATCCCTTGATCTATAACATTCAATCTTGGCCGGATAGCATTCTTATTCCTTGTCCAGATATTCATTTGTCTGGATAACATTCTTTTTCACTTGTCCAAATACCTTTCTTTTTCACTTGTCCGGATTGTGCTTATTCTTTTGTCCGATAAGTGATTTACCTTGTATGGATAGCATTCTTTTAATTCACTCTTTGTCCGGATATCTCTTGATCATTTGTCCGATAAGAGATTTTTGTTAAGTTTTTTAAGAGTCAAGAATATTATTTGTTAGAGTTTTTCAAATCCAGTTCTAGTCAAATATTTTCTGAAAAAGATCATTTCAAGTCTTAAAGATGTCAAAAGATATGCTAAACATTGGATCTGACTCTAAGCCTCCGGTTCTTGCTGTCGAAGAGTACCTGCAATGGAAAGTTCGAATGATACATTTCCTTGACAATAAGGATGAGAAGCTGATGGAATCTATAAAGAATGGACCTCACATCAGTTATATGGATCTACCTAAGCAAATTACCGCATATGGTATTGTTGTGCTTGCTTCCAAGATAAAGAAAGATCCACAGTACTACATTGAAACTGAGAAACAAAGGATCCTCATTGACAAGAAAGCTTTGACTTATATGTTAATGGCCATTCCAAACCAACTTTTTAACAGAGTTGCAGCAGAGGCTCAACAAAAGAGTTATGGAATGAACTGGAAAAACAGATGTTGGGAAGTGAAAAGTCAATTCAGACATGGATGAATCAATGCATCAATGCTTATGAAGGATTCAAAGCTCGTGAGAATGAAACCATCACTGAGTCCTACAACAGATTCAATGTAATTCTGAATGACCTGAGGAGGAACGGTATTCAGATATCCATGTCTGAAATTAACTACAAGTTTTTGAAGAATTTAAGGTCAGTGTGGAACTCTCTTGTAGTAAATCTGCAAATGAATAAGAATATGTCGGAAGAAGACATTTATTGTTAGGACTGAAAATTAGTGTTAAATTGTATTCTTAAAAGTTAATTTTGTCTATAATTGTTTTAAAATCATGTTTGACTTTTCTGATAGTTTGACTTTGACTAGTGGCTTTCTTGTTTGACCTTATATAAAGGGTTTGTCTTTTGTAATTTTGTATGAGCTCATTTGTAAAATTCATTTTACGTAATAAAGCATTGACCAGACTTTGACTATTTCTCTCAAACTCTCCTCTCATGTTCTTGAGCTAAAATCCACTTTGCCATGAATCTATGAAGTTTTATGAAGATTGATCATTTATGGACTCTTCAATTGGTATCAGAGCAGGAGTGCATCGAAATCAAAAAGAAGAAATCATCACTTTTGAAGAAAAGTTTCTGGAAATTCTTTGTTGTTCATCATGTTCTTCATTTTTTTCTATGAGTTTGATTCAATTTTTTTTAAAAATATTGTGTTTTTGTGTTAAAACCTTGATCAAATTGTTCGTAATCGAGTTGTGAATCTTTGTTATATAAAAAGTTTTATGTTTTGATCATTATTTTTCAAGTTTTGGTGAGATTTTGCGTTTTAAAGGTTTTGATGTTCTTGAAAAAGTTCTTAAAAAGGTCCGAGTTTGATCTGATTTTGCATGAAAATTTGAGATTTTTTGTGTTTTTGATGCTTTTTGATCGGACTCTATTATTTTACATCACATAGTTCCTTGTTCGAATTTGGTTTAAATCGCACAAGGCATATCCTTTGTTCACACATAGCTTACCCGGTTTAGAACTTAGCCAAAATTACGACAAGGTAGCCGGATTCTATAAATCGCTTAAGGACTCGAAATAGACTTGACCGGATTCAATAGATCGCTCAAGGACTCGAAATAGGCTTCAAGGAAATAGACTTGACCGGATTCTATAAATCGCTCAAGGACTCGAAATAGGCTTGACCGGATTCAATAAATCGCTCAAGGACTTAGAACTTTTTTGTGTTATCTGGATACAACGCCAGCCGGATTACTCTTCCTCGCTGAAAGACTTGTTCGGATTTGTACTTCCT